CCTCCCCCCCCGCAGCCCCCGCCTCCTCCCTGTGCAAGGCCTTGTTGTTTTATTTTCTTTGTTGTTTGTTTTTATTATTAAATCCTTTTAAAACAGTTCACAAGAAAAAATCCATGCGAAGAGAGACACACGACGTCGTAGAAACCCCGAAACAGCTTCTAAAGAGTATTAGGGATTTTATATTTTTTTTTCCTCTTTTTTTTTTTTTTTCCTTTTTTTCTTTTTTTTTTTTTAAAGTAATTTTTCTTCTTTATGCCCTTTTAAAAGCTGTAGCCTTTTAATTTTTGAAACAACATCCAGACGAGTAAAGCAGGGTGCGCATGCAGCGGGCGCCTCCCACACATGCACGATGCAGGCAGCGCTTTCCTTTGCTTGGGTTTGTTGGGTTGTTTTGGTTTTTTTGGGTCATTTTTGCAACATTTTTCCTTTTTTTTTTTTTTCTTATTTTTTTTCCTGTCCTTTTTATCAGCCAGAGCCAAGGTTTTGCTTGCCACACGGACAGTTTGCATGAGGCCATGAACGGACGGACGCACACGCACGCAGAGACACACGCTCACGGAGAGACCAGCACGGTGGGCAGCAGGGGAAATAGGGGGGAAAGGGGACATGGGGAATAGGGGAAAAAAAATAAGGGGTGCACCCCCAGCACTGTGAACCCCAGCACCTGATGCCCACCCTCCTCATCTGGAGGTGGGAGTCCCACATGGTGTGTGTTGGGGGGATGCTCATCGGACAAAGCCGGGGTGCAGGTGAAGGGAATGGGAACCCCCCTCCCCCCTGCAACCCTGCCAGCTGGAGCTTGTTCCCAGTGGGATGGGTGTCCTGGCACACCCATGGGTGCTAAAAGGATGGGCGTGCACTGATTAGCCCCCCCCAACACCTTTGCACCTACATCTCTGTGTCCCCAGAGGAGGTGCTGGTGGCACTTGCTGCCATCACCGACCTCCCCCTCCCCAGGACAGCAAGACCTGGGGGGCATCTGTGGGTCTCTTCCATGGGTGCTACCAGGATGGGGGCACAAATTACAGCCCCCCCCAACCCCTTTGCACCCACATACCCGTGTCCCTGTGGGGGTTGGTGGCACTTGCCACCCTCACACCCCCTGCCTATGACAGCAAAATGGGGGGACACACACACGTATCTGTGGGTCCCCCCCCATGGGTGCTGGCAGGATGGAGGGTGCATATCCAGCCCCTCGGGAGCACCGGGATGGGTGGTGGGGCAAGAGAGGGGAGTGGAGGGGGCTGGG